GGCACTACTTAAAATGAAGGAATTCACGCTAAATGAATCATATTACCATTCCACGCGACATTACCTTTTGTGCGGGTGCCAGCTGATTTTATAGATTACCTTTCCTGCTCTTTACCACAAAATACTGGAATCAGCGAAAATGCAAAGGATGTTCCAAAGATTATGACACATCATATTTATGTCACTGTTGTTTTCTGTTGTTTTCTGGTTATGACTTTGGAGTTCGGGGCTGGTTCCAGGCAGGCCTACATGAGGGGACAACGGAAATGTGAAGGGGGCATCGGACATACAAATCATTTGAGGCCATTTTGCAGTTGTTGTTGTTGTTATTGATTCTTCATGAGATTGGGTTGTTAGCATTGTCCAACACCAAGAAATAAATTGCACTTTTAAGACATGCCCACCTTGGATGTCCCACCCGAAGACAACCCTGGTATAGTTAGAGAAGTCTGAACACAGCAAATTCAGGGTCGGCCATCAGGGCACGTCCGCCACGTGTCTTGCACCATCCGCATGAGTCAGCTGTCACCGATCCATTTTCACCAGGGATAGGCATAGCTCAGGCGTACAGTAGAGTGGTTGTCTCCCAACCCAGAGGTTGGGGGTTCGATCTCCGGCAATTGTGACCATGTTGAAGTGCCCTTGAGCAACATACTGCCCCCCCCCCCAGTTGCCAGTTGCTCCTGATTCTGCTTTATCAGTCGGTGAATGAGGAAACAGTGTTCAAGCAGTGTGATTGCCTAAGGTAGAAAAGCGCTAAACAAGTGAAATCCCATTTACCAATTAAATATGAATAGGCAACATTGTCTGAAATGATTGATCATGAGCACTGATTGGCTGTGAGCTAGCAAATCAGTGCAGAAGACAGGGGATGGAAGTCGCAAAAGCAAACAAATGGCAAAGCCTGATGTGCCGACTGCTGCCACGTTGGCCACGTTGTACTTTGAGGCTCACTGAAACATGAACCCCCCCATGACTACAATAAGATGGCAATCCTCAGGGGCCAAACAGAAAAATCTTAAAATATTTTCATCAAACTTGAAACTACCAACAACAAAACAATTATCGTATTCGTCGACCATTAGGACTGTATGTGACTCAAATCAATTTGAACCTAAAAACAATAACTTGAAAAATAAATAGAAACAACAAAATAATCTCAATAATTTATCAAGGTTTTTGTCAAAACAAACAAAGTGAACAAACAGGACAAGTATAAAGCAGAACCCCCTGAGCTGAGCTTTCTGTGAGGGACTCACACACTCAAATTCTTTGTCCTCAGTCTGTCTGTGTTTTGCAAAAGGCATTCACATCCAGTACTCATTCGCATCTGAGAAATGCTCCCGTGACATCCTCACACTTGAAAAAGAACAGCATAACAATCCCTGGCTGGCAAGAAAGAAAAATAGATACTCTTTACCCATTCCTTTTTCGATGTTATTCATTTATTAACTCACAACATAAATTGAACTGCATGTATAATGTAATGCCAACAGTTGATCAGATTCTGTGTATGTTAGGAGGGAAAGGGAAGGTCGTTGTATTTTGGGTTTTTTTATTACACACCACTTTGAGGTGCATTTCTGTGTATGAAAAGTGCGATGTAAATAAAACGTGATTGATTGATTGATCATGATGTAAGAATCAGTGTGGCTTCATAAAAAAAAAAATTCTCATTCGGATGATCTCATTTAGAATGTGTGAAATTCAACAAAAGTGCAGATTGTTATTACAGAATTTTTATTAGAAAAAAAAAAAAAATTCTCATTTGGATGATCTCATTTAGAATGTGTGAAATTCAACACAAGTGCAGATTGTTATTACAGAATTTTTATTATAATAGAATCCAGGAGACTGTGTAACAACTCTTAATTTTGGATTGATATCATGAGGATTATATACTGTACCATCCCCTTCACTTCATTTCAGTAGTCCCAAGGAACAGAAGTGACTGACATGCAAAAGCATCATCAAGTGAAGTAGCCTACTTTTCTAGCGAGTAGAGAGAACCATTTTTTTTTTTTTTGTCCGAATGCAAAGAGAATTTGATTGGAGCTGTTCACAGTTTCAACCATTCTCTCTCTAATCTTCCATATGATGCCGTGATCCATTTTTACTGTGCGAATGGTCTTGCATTCATCATGCATGCAAGTGCAGTAGTGCCGATCGATAATTCATTCAGGCTTTGCTGTCATGATGACAGAAATAACCAAGATAATCTGGTGATCATTGCTTGCTAAACCGGTGCTCAACCGAGAGGCTAAACTGTTGCTGGTGTTGCAGCTCCTTGCCTGCCAGCTCATCAAAGCAAAGAAAAGGGCAGAGGCGACTGCTCCCACTGCCAAGCAAGGCTGCCAATGCAGGTAGCCACCTGTTTAGCAAAAGACACTCCTGGTGCATTGGAGCTCACAGGGGCTATCGCTGCAGCAGAGTTACACTCCTCCAAGCGGTGTATGCAGTAGATTGACACAACTTGTCTTCTTAAGACTTTGCCAACATGGAATAATTTCCTTTTTATATGCAATGTATTTGGCTTCACTTTCCTGATGGTTCTTTATCCAAGAAAAAGAAAAAAAGGTCATCCATTTTGCGTGCACCATTTAGCAAAGCCACAGTAGATGGAACATTTATCCTGTGAGGTCTTTAGACACACATTTTTCTCGATTTGTGTTCTAATTTTTACAGACGTTTCAAAATTTTTTGTGTTTTTAACTTTGCAGGGACAAGTTGGGGGTTGTCATATTTTGTTCTACAAAACAGGGTGAATGCTGTCCAGGCCACATGTGAGCTGGAGCGCATCTTTCCTGATTTTGAGCTGAGCAGTCATCCGTTAACACTCACATTCACACTGATGGGAAATGAAAAGTCTTCAGTTATCTTCCATGGATGTTTGTGGTATGTGGTAGGAAGCCGGCGATATCCAAACCTCGGGGGAACATGCAATCCCCACCAAGAAGAAACCTGGCTGAGATTCAAACCGGGGATCTCTGGCTGTGAGGGAGATGCACAAAGCATGTGTCACTGCTCGGGCTCTGACAATGACATTTTTGATCAAAAATACTGGAAATATTGGTTCATTAAATGATGAAATTATATCATAGAGTTGATGTTACATTTTATTTTTTCATCATGTTAGTTGACATGATCAGAACTGTTTGTGTTTCTTGTTTACCGACCGCACAGGCCATCGCTAAGGAAGTAAAACAGTGTCCTCCTCTCGCCTAAAGGGCATTGGCTGACATCAGCGTTTTGTTATCAAGCACCATCTAGAAGAACGACTTTCCGAAACTGTTGTGTCCATTCAGTCCATATTGCAGACGTGTCAAAGCGACATGCGATGTGTATATATTATGTAACTGTACGGTACCTCTACATTGGTCTCTTGTACTTGGCTGTTTATAGTTAAGTGTGTTCTGCCCTTGAGCATTAGAGCAGCGCTCAGCAGCGACAAAGATTGGTTTATGACTGAATGTGTTGAGCTCTTAGCTTCGGCATTTCAATTTCAATAAAATCTGACACACACACATATTCAGTGGTTGGCATGTCTACCTCACAGTTCTGAGGCTCAAGGCTGTGGCCTTCCTGTGTGGAGTTTGCATGTGCTCCCCGTGCTTGTGTGGGTTTTCTTTAGGTATTCCGGCTTCCTCTCACGTTCCAAACACATGCGTGCTCAGTTAATTCAAGACTCGAAATCGTGCATAGGCATGTCCTCAGCAGGCCAAAAATTGGACACAAGTTGGAAGACTGATACTTGCGAATAATGGGACTCAAGTAAAAGTCAAAAGTCGTCCTCCAAATAGTAACCTCAGTAAAAATAACTATTCAGTGAAAAAAAACGACTCAAGTTCTGAGGAGCCATTGATGTTGAGTATATATTCCTGAATTAGTTTTAAATGGTGTAAGAATGTCAACTTGAGAAATATGAATTAAAGGAATAGGAATATGGTACTATATTGCTCAGCAATATAACTTTAAAGCAAAAAAAAAAAAACTGAGAGTAATAATAATTTCTGGAGCTCTGTTGATGTTAGTGGATCTATTCTCTGGAGCTGTTTTTCTGTTCTTTTTAATGAAACACACAATTGAATAAATCCTGATGTGAAAAGGTGGTCCACCTCACTTTCTCCATCAATGGCATCGCATGGCTTGTCTGCCCTCAATTACATTATAATCATATTTTCTTTAATAGAGAGCAAAGTGTGACACTTAAGATTTAAGCACCTTCATTCGTATAAGGATAAAAACATAAAAATCACAACAATGTATTCATAGGACTCCTAATCCCAACAGATTTTACTTAACCATTCCCATAAAGCAGAGCTAGCATTAAAAGTGTACAACAACTACTAAATTAATACATCATGACAATGAAACTCAAGCCTCAAGATAATTTAATGCCATGTGGTTAAAAAAAAAATCTGTGAAACATCACTGTTGCCACCAAGATTATTGCACACAAAACGGAAAGAAAGAAAACTATTCTGTCAACATAATTTTAGAGTCCAAGTCCTTTAATTTTTAGTAAAATGATTTTTCTTTCATATTTCCTTAGTCCTACACGAATGCAAATAAGCAAGATGAGACATTAATGCAGATCAGACTTCAAGAAAAAAAAGTGGGTGGCATAGAAAATTGATGAATACATTTGAATGTAAATGCTGTTAGACAGGTTACTTTGAATCCTCACCTGTACAAGGGGTATCTAAATTTGCAAAAAAACAGGTACAGTTTGTAAACACATTGGATTTACCTAATTTTCTGTAGAAATTGGTCCGAAAATGTGATTTGTTCTACATCTACGTAAGTCACAATTGTAGACGGTGTGTGTAAAGTGATACTACACAAATGATTACATTTTTTTCACGACTTTAATAGACACATTAACATTCAGAGAACAAGGTGGAAAAAAAAAAGTGAATCCCAAGGCTGATGATCACCCAAAGATCTAATTGGCGTCAGGTGTCAGCCAACATAGACTCCAATTAATGTGACGAGATTGGAGGTGTTAGCAAAGCTGACGAAAAGCACATGCCAATTGTGAGTTTTGTGTTCTCAGAAATCCTGATGTGAAACCTTCCTCGCACCAAACAGCTCTAAAAGTACCTCCAATCAGTGCTTTAAGTAGGCAGCAGTACGGAGTCCCAGCACTTCTCAATTTCAGCCTCTAGATGGGACTTTTGATGTTGTACCTGGACTTCACATGAGCCCATTGTACCCTCTTTTGTTCTATTTCTCTCTTGCGCTTTGTGATACACGCCTGTCCGTCGCGAGACAGCCTCACGAGTCGAAATGTGTTGGCAGAGAAAGGAAATGAAGAAGAATGAACCGTGAAGAATGTAAACATATTAGGGTGAGTAGAATCTTTGAAAGGAGTTATTTATGCAGTCCTTGGTTGAAAACGGTTGAACCCATAAATGCTGGCATGGCTCCAAGAGGGCCAAAAAAAGCCCCCCCCCAAAGCCCCGGGCTGGTGATGAAGCAAGCGGGTGACGATGACACAGGATGACAAGTTAATCTTGCAAGTGAGGACCAGCCAGTAACAACGTGAGCCATTCTGATTTACTTTTTGCATTTGATATCTACATACATATATGAATTCCCCGCCTATTAATCCTGGCAACAGTCAAATCAAGGGAGTACAATTTGGCGGACAGTGAGCCAGTCTGCGTGGCGACCCTCCTGCTGCATCGGCTCTATTTTCTGTTCACAGTGCTTGTTGCTATACTGACTGAGTCTCTGCTTGCTTCTGATTGCCAGTCTTAATGGAATTTTCAACAAAACATGAACATTTCGGGTGCCTTTGAGCATGGTGGTGGGAAGACGTTTTCTCTGTCGCTGGCTGACATACCGGCTGATCTCCTCCGTGTTCAGGCGCTTTCTGAAGCGCCATCGCCGTGGCGGCAAACGCAGCAGTCAGCTGGTGAAGCTAAAATGACAGCAAGAACATGCTTGGTTCTCTGCTCGTTCCCAGACTTGTTTGGGGTCTTGAATGAACTGAGCGTGCAATTTTCTAGAATGTGGGAGAAACTCCCGCAAGCTCACTGAGAACATGCAAACTTCACACAGGGGTGTCTGAGTTTCAACCACCTGACTCAGCTGTGTGGCAGACATGTTACTCGCGATTGTATTCCTCTATGCTGCCGGTTCAAATCATATTTATTAAGAGGAGCAAAAGTACTACATTTATGGAAAAAAATGCATCTTTTAGGTGTGTCACACATTCAAAACGAATGACAAACCGAAGAAAGAACAATGACTGTCGTTAGAACTTGAAAATTCAGATCAACATTTGGGTAGCTTTGCAAAATACCCGACAATGTCCAAGTACAGCACACTGCTGAAATTTCCAAAAACAAGTACTGTATATCTGACAGTCTACACAGACATAAAAAAACATAAAAACACACACACACACACACAACCCAAGCTATTGAGGAAACAAAACTGCAACACAGCAAACAGACAGATAACGAGATAATGACAACACGACGATCGATTCACATTTGACACAGTCAAATCTTACTAATTTATGCAGAAATCCAAGTAATTCCCAAACACTCACGTTTTTGACCGTACAGTACATTGTTATCATGTCACTAGTACAGCTTACGTTAGCTGTTATGTGCTCTTTCTCCTGACCTGATACTCATTACTGCCATGTAAAAATAAGTAAATAAATAATCCGGCCTCTGACAGTTTGCAGCCATCCATCAAGAACCTGGTGTGATGAGCCACGATTACAATAAGGTCTTGAAAAACTGAGCATTTAAAAGCACGCTATAAAAACATTTTCCCCTTATGGAATTGTTTGTGGATGAGAGAAGTGTTACATCAAGTGCAACCAACATGAAGGAATTGCATTTGTGCCTTTGGCAACCGAGCCACCAGCACTGTTGAGGTCTACGCTTGAATCGTCAAAAACATTAAAGCCGACGTCTTTTGCTAACCACTTCAGTTGAAAACATGACGTGGTCAAGTGAAGATGAGAATTCATGAAGAATTAAGATGATGACTGTGAAATTGCGAGAACTGCGCTCCACTCACTCCAAGTAATTAAGCCACTGCGGATGGCTTAGTACAGAGTTTGTTGTTGAAAAAACAATGTTCTGATATGACCTCATGCATTACTGCTTTATTCATGTCATCCAAGAAGAAATTAGCAATGCGTGTGGTGAAAGCAGAATTAAAAATTCTCTCCTAAATGTGCCAACGAAAAATGTAATTAGAGGGCACTTAATAATGTAGTGCTTGACACAGCTGACTCTCATGCTTTGATTCTCGGTCATTCCCATTCACAAAATGACCTGCAATCATTTCTTGCTACCTACCACCTTTAATCAACAGGGTTAGTCGCCAATCTCTCTTGTTGCTTGATTCGGTGCCCTGTGATTGGCTGGCGACCAGTCCAGAGTGTATGCCACCTCTCACCCAAAGTCAGCTGGAATAGTCTCAAACTCACCTATGACCCAAATGAGGATAAGTGGTATAGAAAAGGGGCGGATGCATCACTGTATTTCAAGGCAGTAAGAAATCACTTCTGAGTCATTGTGATTGCAAGTGTCACTCTTCCGTTTACTCTTCTTAGAAAATGCGCAATTTGATCGCAACCCCAAGGTTTGATATTTTCAAGGTCAAGGTCATCTTTATTGTCAAATATGCTTTATGTATAACATGCAGCACAGATGAAGTTTCTTTCCTCTCAATCCTCAGTGCAAACATGGTGTGCATTAAACACAATTAAAATTAGTCTCCACATTTCAAGATGAGCATGTTCCCATCTTTCTAGCCACCTTTCATGTGTCACAGGTGTTATTAGAACCTTGATTATGGACAACTGTCACGTGGCAAACCATCTGTTTCACAGCTTGCTGATGATCCGTTCAACCTGGCAGTCTACTCTTCGAACGAGCCTCCTCTGAGCAGAGATCTTCTTAAAGGAGACATTTACAAGAACAACGAAATACCATGTGTTTTTTTTTCATCTTTTTTTGTTTGTTTTTGCTGCATTTATTTCCACTATCTTGAATGTGGTAGCGCTCCAGTGACTACAAAATTTTTTTTTTTTTTCATCTTTTTTGTTTGTTTTTGCTGCATTTATTTCCCTTTTTTGAATGTGGTAGCACTCCAGTGACTACAAAGCAGCATTCTGTTAGAAGCAACGAATGGCCACTCTTTAAGAGGGCTGAACCTATCAGTCGGTATATTTGCAATTGCATCAAATGACTCAAAATTATGAGTGAAACTAAGAATGACAGTTCCCATGAAAATTGTGTGTGGCTGCTGAAGAATGCCAATATCAGAAATGAATAGAAAATCTCCCAAAAACGCATGAGCGTAATTATAATTATCCCCCTCCTAGGCACTGTTCCAGCATGGGGATGACATCAGAGCCATCTGATAGAATGCTTAAATACCATTAGCGAGGCTTATTTTAAAAGCTCAACAGTCCAAACTGAGCAGCATATTTTGCTCATTGATTGAATTTGAATCTGCTGAGCGGTGGCACTCATTAAGTCCCATGACAACAGGTTCAACAAAATAAATTAATTTTTTTATACTCCATTTTATTGATTCATACACGATTGAAATCTTGAGTGACATTGCGTGAAGGTCTAAAATAAGTGATGATTGTAAAAGAACAGATGTGATTTCAGAGGAAGGTACCTTCCAATATCTTGCTATGTAAACATTTGCAAGTCATTTTGCCAATATCAACAAGTACACACTAACCTAGCTGTCCAGCTTCTTTCTGTTGGTCTCCACTCCTCTTATTGATGTATGTTGATTCTTGTTTATTGTAGTTTGCATTGCTAACCGTGGAGGAAATCAGAACATTCACAATCTTCCAGTGCATTCAAGCACTTGTGTGTAGCTTTATTCTGTTTTATTACCAATCTTAGGAGCACATTAAAAGCAAATGTAAGAACTTATTTGTTCTGTTTCGTATCCAGCTGTGATTTGCTATAGAATCAAATTTCCACGGTAGAGATTCCTAGAGGATTAAACGTCTACCAGTATGCGACAAGAGAAATATCACTGCCTTTGCCTCGCAGAGAAAGCTCATCGTGATATAATTGTAAAAGCTATAGCATGTCTCTTCAAAGTGTAGATCCATAAATTATGCAGTCTGCGCAATTTCTTTCTGCTTGAATATTTATACCAGTGTGTTCATCGGAAAATGAGAGAACAAAATACTGACAACATCATGATGATATGCTCCGTGAAAGCCATTAGGAAAAAAAAAAAGCATTTTATTCATATTCATGTACAGTATGAACTACAATCTCAGGTATCAATAGGTGGACATGATCTGCAGAGAAATTAGCTGAACTTATTACAAGCACAGTCTCTTGCTGCTCCCATTCCCTCAACCATCCCCCACCCTTATTTTTTCTTCAACATTTTTTAAACAATTGAAGCACATGTAAAATTATGAGCTTAATATTTTTTTGCAATACCTTTTTGAAAATATTATTTATTCTTTTTTTTTTTTTTTTTTTTTGTAGAAACATAACAATTTGACGGTTGTTCTCTCCAAAAATGAGAGAGAATGTATTCCTACATCCAGTAACCCTCTCCAGACGTACACAGTTGGCAGAATAACTCAGACGAATTGTATCACCTTGGCTCGGGTTTTGCACAAAAATCAAGCTCACACTGCTGGTATTTCATGTCCAACACTCAGACACAGCAGTCTTAGTTTTGTCCCAAAACAAGCCTCCACATCGGGACAGTTTGCTCACGTACGTAATAATACTACCAATGCAGCAAAAAAAAAAAAAAAAAATCCATTAAATCTGAAAAATTAGAAAAAATCTCAACCCTTCATTCTCAAATACATACGAATACAAAATCCCAACTGTTTTAATTATAGCCAGCGTCAACATTGAATCAAAAAGTCACCAACAGCAGTGAAAAGAAACTGAGCACCAAAACAGAAAACCGGAAAAGGGAAAGAATGGTTCACACATTTCAGGTTATTATTGATGCCCTCATCTTTCATAACGCCAGCAGAAAGGCGGACATTTGTAATCCATTTCTGCAGTGTGCACCCACACATTGGTCTCCTAATGTATATTTTGCTTCCATCAAATGTGTTACTGAGAACGAATGAAAAAAAATGCGTGTGACTAACTGATTAGACGCAGATGAGTTTTTGAGCGATGGGCCTTTATTATATTCCTCCTATAAGCTATATGGTTGCAGCCCTTACTGAATTTAAAAGCAAGAAAGGAAGGGCAGCCGTAAGTATAAAGCGGTCACATTTTCAAATCAGGCCTCACTTTATTTCATTTAAAAACATGAAGCTGCAGAGTGCTCTGCGATGATGATGTCATATGTTGCTCGAATTCTATTATTCCATCTTTAAATGCCCATTACATTATTTCATGGTTAGAAATAATCGCTGGTCCTGTGTTATCTTCCCTGGGAAATCAAAGTAAGCTTGTTGAACAGACGACCATTACAGACAAGTGAAAGGCATATCTATTATCTACCACATCTTAGTTTTTGCACAAGGTCACCGTTTCCATGGTGACAGTCTGATGGCTAGTTTTGCCTCCTTATACCTTATCTATTTTTGATTCCTCTTCCTTCATATCCTCTACATTTCTGTTTGAAGACCCCTCGTGACCGTTGTGGGTTTATCCCTGCTCGACAGACCCACTGTGCACCCTTTTACCTTTTCGAAAAACGGAATAAAATTAGCATCTCGACAATGTTCTGTTGGATTATACATGATGCAGCATCAAAGTGTATCCATTTTTTTTTTTTTTTGTCAGACAACAATGACACAGAGCAGCAGGGTTTGCTTCCACAGCAAAGTTCTTAAGCCCTGCTTTGCTCTGCAAACCGATGGCGAAAAAGTCTAATGCTGTTTGGTTATCAGTTTTCCACTGTTGGTCTGCAAATGAAGTGCTGATGCAGTTTAATGAGACGTAACCCATCTCCCCTTTTTTGTGCCAGGTCCCTTGCTGCTTCACTGAGTCTGTTAGCCCTGTCTGCATTGGTCCGACAGGGTCACACTACATTACAAAGCTGCCTCATTTGCCTCTTTATCTGGACCAACAGATGGACTATCAGCACATGAGCTTGTGTGACCCCAGGGTGATGGCGAGGTAACGCGACACTGCATGGACATACATCATAACTGGGTTAAAAGGGAGACTACTGACTGCTGCCTTATGCTGCCCTTCATTTTCTCAAGCAATATTCTGCCGTCGTGCGACACATGCCGACGGCTAACGCGAGACAAATGAGACATGGCAAGGGGTGGGGAATGTCCCTGAATTAAGCAGCGGCGACAGCCCGAGAAGGACAACCATGAGGACACGGAGTAAACGAGAAGGGGAGGGATTATGTGGGCAGATTGATAAACGGGAGAAAACGAACAGGAGGACCTCATTAAGAATTGGAGTTTAAGTAATAAGTCAATGGAGGTGCTACTCATTTTATTACAATGAGATGATCTATATGGCTGCTATTAGGCGCCACGGGGAAAACGCCTACACTAATTTGACTGCTTTCGTCTTCAGACACACAGGCTTCCCTGTGATATCATCACAAGCTTTTCCATCAAAAGAGTCTCCCGAATGGCGGTTAGAACAGCATAATGATGAAAATTAACTCGTCTCGTGGTGGGAATCGTATAGACGGCTGCCTCAATGTGGACAGCGTACGCTGAACAACGAGCAAATGAATGCTTGTAAACACTGAAACAGTGACCCACACAAAAACATAACAGCTGCGAGCAAATACCAAAATGAAATGACCTCGTATTCGTTTCAGTTTAAGACCTACATTCCATATTCACATTTGGCAAACCATTCTTTTCCTCGTGCCATATTACAGCGAGATGGAGCGAGAGCGATAAACGAGAAAGGAAAACAAGCTAAAAAGCTATCACAATTAGTTTTTGTCTTTAGTCACCAGACATCGTTTTTAAATAAATAATCTTTGTTTTTGTAAAGACACTTAATAAAGTATCAATGGTGGTCCCTTTGTCAAATGTTGATTTATCACTGTCATTGCTGTGTTAATGTCATATTGCAGTGTATTTTTTTTTTCTTTGTTTTCCTAAAACTGCTCATGTTCCATGTTTCACCGTATGTGAAATGCAGGATCAGATTTGGGTCTCTTGTACGTTGTCTTTTGAACAGGCTTGAATCAATAAATGTTCCTGTGTGGTAGAGCTGTGCATGGTACTGAGCATGGAGGGGTGATGATAAGTGCTCTTGTAGGTGTTGTAGTGGTTGTAGTGCTCCAGTGGGGGCAGCGATAGGTGTCTGTCAATAGCAGCAACACCTGCAAGCTCTTCTTCAACGGTAATGACTTCCATAGAGGAGGCTGGGCCATCGGGATCCTGTTGGTTATGCTGCTTCCTCATTTTGTAGAAAATAACGAGCAGCACAGCAGCCATAAGTGTGATGGCCACAAAGCAGCCAATGATGATCTTGGTTGTTTTCATCACCTCATCCAGGCCGTTGAGGGCTCCCTCTCCATCCAAATCGAGAACCGGAATGGTGTAAGTCCTCTCCGTGGTCCTCGTTGGAACCGGGGTGGTTTTTGTGGTCGAGGAGGACACCCAACCAAATGGGGGCAGCGGAGTGTGGCCATCGTCACCTGGGGTCTCAATGGTCTCCACTGTGACTGTCGTAAAATAGGTCACCCCGCTGTTTTCCACAGAAGTGACGTTGAGCACGGCGGAGGCGGAGATGTTGCCCGCCGTGTTGCTGACCATACAGGTGTACGTGCCGGTGTCTTGCATCGTGACGCTGGTAAAGTTAAGTGTGCCGTCATTGAGCACAGACAGTCGCACTTTATAAGCCCCGTGTGTCACCAGGGAGCCGTTGGGCGTGAGCCAGCTGATGGATGTCAAGGAGCTCGTACGACATTTGAGCTCTGCCCCCATGCCCTCTGTCACATTTAAATCGGAGGGTGGCTCTACGATGACGGGAACATCACATTGGAAGTAGCTATGATCCAATTCTCCAATGTAGCGACCTTTAAAGAGCGTAGGGGTGTGGCAACGGGCGCAGCAACTTGTATTGGCGGGTACGGACTCCTTTAGCCACCAACTGAGCCACAGGATATCGCAGTTGCAATTCCAAGGGTTGTGATGAAGGTGGACCCGTTCCATACGATGCAGGGGTGTGAAGAGGTCATGTGGAAGGAAGGTAAGGTTGTTGTGAGCGAGGTTGAGCTCCACTAACGACTGCAAGTCATCAAAGGAATTCCTCTCAATGGTTTGGATCTGGGCATGCATCATCCACAGCTTCTGGAGGTTGACCAATCCTGTAAATGAGCTAGGCTTGACGGTGGTCAGCTGATTTCCAGACATTTCCAGTTCTTCCAGCCTTACCAGTGGTAAGATGTTCGGGATCTCCTTCAGGTTGCACATTCCCAAATTCAAATAGCGCAAATTGCTCAAGTTCTTGAAGGCTCCATCTGAAATGTAGGAGAGACGTTTGAGCTCACCTAAGTCCAACCTTCGAAGGGAGGGGACTCGGTTGAAGGCATAGGATGGTATACTTTCAATGGGGTTGTTCCGAAGCCACAGTTCCTTTAGCTTGGACAAATACTCGAATGCTCCATTGGGGATTGTCGTGAGTCGATTATCAAAGAGCTCCAAGGTGTTCAGGCTTGTCAGTCCATTAAAGGCGCCTATTTCAATGCTGCGGATGTGATTCTTGCTCAGCTGCAGAATCTCCAGGTGGCGCAGATGTTTGAAACTGTCCACCTTGATAACCTGTATGAGGTTGTCCTGGAGGTTTAAGTAACGGGTGTTGGTCGAGATACCATCTGGCACGTCCCGTAGACTACGGCGGGTGCATATAACTTTGCTGAACTGGTTACTGCATGAGCAGACAGAAGGACAGGTCTGTGCACGAACTAGCCCGGCCACCACCAAGATCTGAAGGGCCAGGAGTAGCACAAAGAGGGGGTTGGACAGCGCCCCCTTTAGTCTACGACTTCTCATTGTCTGGCGCTGGAAGGAGGAGATCATTTTGTTCAGCATTCATAGTTCATCTGCTGGTTACGTTTTCTGCAACACAAAAAGAAACATAATTTGGTGAGAAGCTCGGATCGGCATTTGGGAAATCGTTGAAGTTGTTGTTGCACTCCAATGTGGCCTCGCACTCCTGTGAAGTACTGTGGGCAGACAAGGCTCAGAGACCCCCCATTTCCCTCATAAGATGAACGTACTTTGTAGTGTAAATATTTCTATGTTGGTAAATAAGCTGTGCACACATCACAAGACCACTTTTTTCTCTGTTGAAGTAGCACATTAACTTTTTTGGACTCACGAGCATGCTTGTGTTCTCATCTGTACATAACGGCAATGCATTTTCTCCATTGAGTGCTATCCAGATACATCGGGACAATTGTCAAAGAATGATAGAATGAAAACGAAAAATGCAAATTATGATAAACGTTCACCGGATACCACTGCTTTGGATAAGTGTCAAAGATCCAATAAAATTATTTTATAATGCAAGACCAACAACACTTAATTTCAGGTTTGCAATCACACTGCATTTTATGATAGGTGTTCTGTCTTAGACTTTTAATATAAACATTTATTTTAATCAAACTGGGGAAAACTAACACACACACTATGGTGTTTAATTGTTGCATAGAAATGAACTTCAATCCTTTTATTTATGTTAGAAACCAAAACATTTCTCATGCAGTGTGATGAGAACTGTTCCCTACCTGGCATTTGTCTGGCATTTGGCATGACAGGAGCCATGACCCATTTACATGTAATTAGAGTCCAATTCATCACAGCACCAACAACCAAATAGTGAATTTCGAGTGAAGAAACAGGAAACATTGTGACGTTGAAAACAGTAACTTTACTCTGCAAGAATGAATGAATTAATTCTTATTTGAACATGATTGTCACTATAAAAATAAGATGAATGAAAAGGCAAGAAAAATAGATTCATATACAAAACACTGTTTACAAAGGAGTAAGAAGAAGTCTGTGCTCATCGTGCCCAAACCCTATCCATCACTTACAAATGACAATATTTGTAAGACTTCATTTTGAACACAGAAAATAACCCATAATAATTAAATGAATAATATCAGCCTGGGTGGCCCGGTGGTCGACTGCTGAGCACGTATGCTTCACAGTGCAGAGATGCAGGGTTCAATTCCGGCTCCGGACTTCCTGTGTGGAGTTTGCATGTTCTCCCCGTGCCTGCGTGGGTTTTCTCCGGGTACTCTGGTTTGATTTAGCAGGGTGTACCCTGTCTACTGCCCAAAGACGGCTGGGATAGGCTCCAGCATGCCCTGCAACCGTTGTGAGGACGACCGGATTAGAAAATGGATGGATAGAATATCAGCCTGTACAATGTTGTTAAAGCAAAAAGAAAAACAAAAAAAAAACAAAAAACAAAAAGTGAGAGCTTATTATCCAGAGGCTTACTATCCATTCAGTGTATGAGTGTTTAGGAATTTGCTTGCTTGCTTGCAGAGCACCCAAAATAGACCAAGCCATTCAAATAACAAATACAACGTACAATGGCGCTGAGTACATACACAGCATGATTGATGTGATAGCACCCCTTATTATGTAGTGCCCTGCAAGCAACCTATGCGTGTATCAACACACAGCACAGTATACCAAACATCTCGTGTGCAACATGCTGAGCAGATACAGCAAAGTAGGTTAACATTTTTTTTAGAATTCACTCGTTTCCGATTTTAGTGTCTTTCCAGCCTGACATCCCAACTTGTCTGTTAATCATCTTCTTTTAGCATCAACTCATAGGCATATATATAAGATAAGAAAACCTTTACTTGTCTCACAATGGAGAAATTTGCAATTTACAGCAGCAACATTTTGAAAGAAAGTAGAAAAACGAAGTATTTGCATGCACAAAAATAAATTTAAAAATTAACTGAACATTTTACAGAATGAAATATAAAATATAAGCATATATGCAACTGCATATATATATATATATATATATATAAAATATATATTATAAAGCAAGCTAACTAACATTAGTAAATTTACTCTGATACCCATGCACAACTCTGAGAGGGGGTGTGTTCGGTGAGGTAGAGTTTGCTCCGCTCTCATTAATTTCACAACGCATCATATTCCCAGTTGAAGCGCGAAGTGCCTTGCGCTGTTTTTGGTGCAGTCCGAATAGCCGAATGACAAATTTTCAAAGTTTCAGAATGTTTTCAGTGAACCAGTGCATGCTCTGGGATTATGTCTGAACGCACCTCTAATACGCAAATAACTAAAAGACTCAACCTGCCTCTTTTGCCCTCACAAACGCACACAGTTGCAGCACAAACACGGAAGCAGAAATTGTATTGGAACAGAATGGCTGAGTGGCTGGATTAATCAATATCACAGGTGCATGGTACATGTGGCTTGTTTGCTCCCCAGCCAGGCTGCCATGCTACTGCAGCATTGGAGGCTGCAGAGGGACAGGGCTCTGGGAGAGAATGAGATGGAATGAGGTCTCCCGCTGGCAAGGGCTCATTTTATCTGCCTGGAATCACAAACACTCTGCACTACTACCTAAACACAGCTTTTCGACATAGCAAACACACAGCAAGAAACACTGGTCGATAAAATGTGTCTTGTTCAGTTGACCTGCAATGTTTTTGAAAAGTCCATCACGTGATGATTGCGTTTTATTCACATGCAGCTATTAAACCGTAGACTTGGATATATGCTTTTTTCATACTGTTCCCATCTATTTAGATTTTAACAGGAAAATGCCGTTATGCCTTTGCACATAAAGAAAATACAAGACAGCAAATAGAGTCAATCCAAAATTCTCTTAAAATTGAATCTATCCATCCATCCATCCATTCATTTTTTTTTGATCCGTATGTCCTCACAAGCTGTCTTCGGGTACATCTTGAACTGGTTGCCAGTCGATTGCAGGGCACACATAGACAAACAACCATTCTCTCTCTCTTTATATATATATATATTTTTTTTTATATATATATATATACATATATGCACGTGGCCTCACAGTGCAGAGGTACAGGGTTCGATTTCGTGCCTGTGTGGGTTTCCTCCCTCATTCCAAAAACATGGGTGGCAGGCAGATTGAACACTCATAATTGTCCCTAGGTGTGAGTGTGTGCGTGAGTTGTTCGTCTATGTACCCTGCAATTGGCTGGCAACTGGTTCAGGGTGTCCCCCGCCTACTGCCCAAAGACAGCTGGGATAGG